CGGCTCCTCCCAGCCCCTGGCAACCACCATGCTACTTCCTGTCTCTCTCTTTTTTTTTTTTTTTTTTTTGAGACGGAGTCTCGCTCTGTCGCCCAGGCTGGAGTGCAGTGGCCGGATCTCAGCTCACTGCAAGCTCCGCCTCCCGGGTCTACACCATTCTCCTGCCTCAGCGTCCCGAGTAGCTGGGACTACAGGCGCCCGCCACCTCGCCCGGCTAGTTTTTTGTATTTTTTAGTAGAGACGGGGTTTCACTGTGTTAGCCAGGATGGTCTCAATCTCCTGACCTCGTGATCCGCCCGTCTCGGCCTCCCAAAGTGCTAGGATTACAGGCTTGAGCCACCGCGCCCGGCCTACTTCCTGTCTCTCTGAATTTGACTACTCTGGACACAGAATATAAGTGGAATCCTACAGTATTTGTCTTTTTGTGACTAGCTTATTGCACTCCGCATAATGTCAGGGTTCGCCTTTCATCCATGCTGCAGCATATGCAGAATTTCCTTCTTTCTGCGGTTAAAGAGCTCTCCACTGTCCATATAGACTATTTGCTCAACCCTTCACCCGTCCGTGGACCGCTGGGCTGCTCCCACCTTTTGGCTGTTGCGAATGCTGCTACTGTGAAAGTGGGTGTGAAAATGGAGGAACATTCTTTTGATGGTGTTGAATTTGGTTTAACCCATATTAGAGCAAACATAAGGAGCACAGCAAACATCACAGATATGAGACATGAATGCTTAGGGTGCAGCTACAGTGACGAGGTGATTTCAGGTCAATCACGAAAGGGCGACAGCGGACAGGGTGAGAGTCGCCAGGAGCCAGCGGGAATGACTTCGGTTTGAGAAAGTCTAAGCTGGGTCAAGCCAAGGAGGAGCCGGGGCCTCTCGCCCCGCGTCTCCCTCTCCGGGATCCCCTCCCCGGACCTGCCACTCCGGTCTCCGGGCTCGCCCGGCTGCCTGCGGCTACCACACACCCTGGGGCAGTTTTGGCCCCGGGTCCCAGGAAAGCATCTGATTGGCTGTGTTCTCACTAGGCCAGCCCTGATAGATCACTGGCCAGCCTATGGATAGGCTCCCCTCAGTCAGATGCCCATGCCTGGTCCAATCAGCGGTGGGCAGTCTGGAGGGTCGGGGAAGGAGCTGTGGCTGGCGGGGCTCCCAAGTCCTGCAGGGACTCCTGGCGGGTCCAAGGTGAAGCCCGGCCAGCCGCAGGCTTCACAGCGCCCCCTGGTGGTCCGGGGCGGAGGCGGGGAGGAGCCCAGGCAGCCGCAGAGGGAAGTTCAGGGCAGTCGCGGAGGCTCAGACCCGTAATCTCAGCACTTTGGGAAGCCAAGAGGGGAGGATCGCTTGAGATCGAGAGTTTGAGACTAGCCTAGGCAACATAGTGAGAGCCTTATCTCTACTAAAAATTAAATTTAAAAAAGGCGGGTCAAGGTCTGAGGATGGCTAACTCCGCTCTGGACTCCACACCTGAGGGTAACCAAGGGAAGGGTGTTGGGGAGCGGTCCTGCCTGGGGCTGACCCCCCAGAACTTGCCCAGCTCCTCTTCTATCTGGGGCTGGGGGAGTTGGTTAGTGCGGGGTGGGGTGCGGGGACGCAGAACCCCCCAAAGCTGTTCTTCTCTCCCGGTCAGCCTCTGCCCTCTCCTAGCCCCCTTTCATCACTCAGGGAACCCTGAAAGTGAGGACCTCAGGTACTGTGCGTTTCCTAACGTCGCCTCAATCCTGGGTGTCCTGTTTGGACCCTCGGGCCTTCTGCGCGGCTCTCAGCGAATCTCTGAGCACAGGGATGCGTGGGTACCCCGCCCTTTGGTTCCAGGCTCAAATCAGTGGCACAGTGTCCCCGCCAGGCCAGAGAGAGGGGTCGGCTCCCAGCCGTTCGTGGGTAGCTGGGGCTGGCGCACGCACATCCTCTCTGCCTTTCCCTCCCGAAGCGCTGCCGTGGGCCAGGCCGCACCAGAACGGCGGGCATCCCTAATTGCCCTGCACTAATTGCAGCTTCACCTGCGCAGCTGGGCTGGCCTCCCCTGAGCCTGGAGCTTGTTATTGGAAATAAGCCGATTTCTCCAGTTTGGGAGAATTCAGACTTGGGGGTTGAACTACTTGTGATTTGGGGCATTTATCATTGAAAATAGGCCTCGTTCCCTCATGGAGAGTTTTGTGTAAACAACTCGGCGCCACACATCCAGGCTCGTGTATCCGTGTGGGGTTTCCAACCTAAGAAACACGAGGCGGCACCCCAGGGCCCTAGGACCACGCACAGGCCCCAAGGGTTTGGGGACTGAAACCGGGAAGGTTCAGGGCTGCCTCCAGCATTGACCAGATCTCAGCTGAGCCACAGCCCATCTGAAGGCTTAGCCCAAGCTCTGGCTCTTTTTTCCTCCCTCCCTCCCTCCCTCCCTCCCTCCCTCCCTCCCTCCCTCCCTCCCTCCCTCCCCCCCCTCCCTCCTCCCTTCCTTCCTTCCTTCCTTCCTTCCTTCCTTCCTTCCTTCCTTCTGGCTCTTTTTCCCTCCCTCCTTTCTTCTCCCTTCCCCTCCCCTCCCCTCCCCTTTCCTTTCTTTTTGACAGAGTTTCACTCTTTCACCCAGGCTGGAGGGAAGTGGCTCACTGCAACCTCCACCTCCTGGGCTCAGGCAATTCTGTCTCAGCCTTCTGAGTAGTTGGGAGATTACAGGAACCCCCCACCACACCCAGCTAATTTTTTTGTATTTTTTAGTAGAGATGGGGTTTTATACCATGTTGGCCAGGCTGGTCTTGAACTCCTGACCTCAGGTGATCCACCAGCCTCGGCCTCCCAAAGTGCTAGGATTATAGGCATGAGTCACCACGCCTGGCCCTTTTTTCTGTTTTTGAGATTGAGTCTCCCTCTGTCACCCAGGCTGGAGTGCAGTGGTGTGATCATAGCTCACTGCAGCCTCAAACTCCGGGGCTCAAGTAATCCTCCCAACTCAGCCTTCTGAGTAGCTGGGATCCCAGGCACATGCCACTATGCCTGGCTAATTTTAAAAATTTTTGTGGAGATGAGGTTTTGCCATGTTTCTCAGGCTGACCTGGAATTCCTGGGCTCAAGTGATCCTCCTGTCTTAACCTCCCAAAGTGCTGGGATTACAGGTGTGAGCCACCCACACCTGGCCTTCTCTAAGAGTTTTATTGATGTAGGCCAGGAGTGGTGGCTTACACCTGTAATCCCAGCACTTTGGGAGGCTGAGGTGGGTGGATCACTTGAGACCAGCCTGGGCAGCATGGTGAGAATAATTATTGCTGAATAATTTCCATTGTATGGAAATCCCACACTTTATACATCTATTCACCAGTAAATGGATATGCCTTTCCATTTTGGGGGTATTATGAATAATGCTGCTATGGACTGTTTTTTTTTTTTTTTTTTGAGACGGAGTCTTGCTCTGTTGCCCAGGCTGGAGTGCAGTGGCCGATCTCAGCTCACTGCAAGCTCTGCCCCCCGGGTTCACGCCATTCTCCTGCCTCAGCCTCCCGAGTAGCTGGGACTACAGGCGCCCGCCACCTTGCCCGGCTAGTTTTTTATATTTTTTAGTAGAGACGGGGTTTCACCTTGTTAGCCAGGATGGTCTCGATCTCCTGATCTCGTGATCCGCCCGTCTCAGCCTCCCAAAGTGCTGGGATTACAGGCTTGAGCCACCGCGACCGGCCTGCTATGGACTGTTGACTAAAGAAATAAAATGTGGCTGGGCATGGTGGCTCATGCCTGTAATCCCAGCACTTTGGGAGGCCGAGGTGGGTGAATCACGAGGTCAGGAGTTTGAGTCCAGCCTGGCCAATGTGGTAAAACCCCGTTTCTACTAAAAAAAAAAAAAAAAATTAGCCAGGCGTGGTGGCACACACCTGAAGTACCAGCTACTTGGGAGGCTGAGGCAGAATGGCTTGAACCTGGGAGGCGGAGGTTGCAGTAAGCCAAGATCGCACCACTGCACTCCAGCCTGGGCAACAGAGCAAGACTCCGTCTCAAAAAAAAAAAAAAAAAAAAAGGTCTGGGCACAGTGGCTCATGCTTGTAATCCCGGCACTTTGGGAAGCTGAGGCGGGTGGATCACCTGAGGTCAGGGGCTCGAGATCAGCCTGGCCAACATGGTGAAACCCCGTTTCTACTAAAAATACAAAAATTAGCCGGACACAGTGGTGAACGCCTGTAATCCCAGCTACTCAGTAGGCTGAGGCTGGAGAATAGCTTGAACCTGGGAGGCGGAGGTTGCAGTGAGCCGAGGTCGCACCACTGCACTCCAGACCAGGTGACAGAGCAAGACTCCATCTCAAAAATAAATAAATAAAAATTTAAAAATGAAGAAAAAAAGAAAGCTTTTAAAGATATGAGTTTGGGCCGGGCGTGGTGGCTCACGCCTGTAATCCCAGCACTTTGGGAGGCCGAGGTGGGCGGATCACAAGGTCAGGAGATCGAGACCATGGTGAAACCCCGTCTCTACTAAAAATAGAAAAAATTAGCCAGGCGCAGGGGCGGGCGCCTGTAGTCCCAGCTACTCGGGAGGCTGAGGCAGGAGAATGGCGTGAACCCGGGAGGCGGAGCTTGCAGTGAGCCGAGATTGCGCCACTGCACTCCAGCCTGGGCGACAGAGCGAGACTCCGTCTCAAAAAAAAAAAAAAAAAAAAAAGTTATGAGTTTGATGGCTGGGCACGGTGGCTCATTCCCGTAATCCCAGCACTTTGGGAGGCTGAGGTGGGCGGATCATCTGAGGTCGGGAGTTCAAGATCAGCCTGACCAACATGGAGAAACCCCGTCTCTACTAAAAATACAAAATCCAGCTGGGCATGGTTTTGCATGCCTGTAATCCCAACTACTCAGGAGGCTGAGGCAGGAGAATCGCTTGAACCCGGGAGGCGGAGGTTGTGGTGAGCCAAGATTGTGCCATTGCACTCCAGCCTGGGCAACAAGAGTGAAACTCCGTCTCAAAAAACAAAAAAGAGTGAGTTCGATTCAGAACCCTCCTGAGGACATTACAGAGAGGCTGATAGCCCAGAATATTTCCTTAGAGAGTTTTTCTTACATTGCTTCAAAATAGTGTTTCAGCTCACAGCTACACATGAGCTGTGGGAGTCCAATACGGGCAAAATCACATCAGACTTGCTCAGAAGTTACACTGAGGCAGTCACACCAAGGTTTGGGTAAGAATACATCTGGTTATAGATTACAGAGGCATCATCACTAACCAGATGTTATGAGGAGGAAAAGGCAAGGCTAGGGTCATGGATCTTTTAGAGAATGTAGCAACTCAAGCCAGAGGTGTGGGGATGGAGACTGTGTGCTCGTCACGTTTTGTCTTCAAAGCATCTTTCTGGAGAGCTGCAGGTGGTCACAGAGGTGGGGCTTTGTGAAATTGTGCTGCAAACAGAAACGAGCATGCATGGCTTCCTAGGTGTGCTACTTTACCTCACAGAACGTTCACATACAAATCTTTGTGTTAGAGAAGATGTTTTCAGGCCAGGCATGGTGACTCATGCTTGTAATCCCAGCATTTTCGGAGGCTGAGGCGGGAGGATTGCTGGAACCCAGTTCGAGCCAGCCTGGGCAACGCAGTGAGACCCTGTTTCTACAAAAAAATAATTTAAAAATCAGCCAGGTATTGTGTCACTCCCTGTAGTCCCAGCTACTCGAGAGGCTGAGGTGGAAGGATCACTCGAGCCTGGGAGGGTGAGGCTGCAGTGAGCTGTGACCATGCTCTCTAGCCTGGGTGACAGAGCAAGATCCCATCCCTAAGAAAAAATATATATATTTTGTTTTCATTTCTTGGGCAGGTACCTAGGAGTGGAATTGCTGGTTCTTATGATGAGTTTAGGAAATGGCCAAGCTTTTCCAAAGACGTTGCATCATTTTGCATTCCCACTGGGAGTGTATGAGAGTTCCAGTTGTTCCATGTTCTTGTCAACAGTCGGTATGGGCCGGGTGCGGTGGCTCAAGCCTGTAATCCCAGCACTTTGGGAGGCCGAGGCAGGTGGATCACGAGGTCAGGAGATCGAGACTATCCTGGCTAACATGGTGAAACCCCGTCTCTACTAAAAATACAAAAAACTAGCCGGGCGTCGTGGCGGGCGCCTGTAGTCTCAGCTACTTGGGAGGCTGAGGCGGGAGAATGGCGTGAACCCGGGAGGCGGAGCTTGCAGTGAGCCGAGATCACGCCACTGCACTCCAGCCTGGGAGACACAGCGAGACTCCGTCTCAAAAAAAAAAAAAAAAAACAGTCGGTATGTTTGGATTTTTTCTTTTTTTTTTTGATGAGACAGGGTCTTGCTCTGTCACCCAGGCTGGAGTGCAGTTGCACGATCATGGCTCACTGTAACCTTGACTTCCCGGGCTCAGGTGATCCATCCACCTCAGCCTCCGAGTATCTGGGACCACAGGCAGGCGCCATCATGCCCAGCTAATTTTTTTTGTTTTTTTGTTTTTTTGAGATGGAGTTTCGCTCTGTCACCTAGGCTACAGTGCAACGGCGCAATCTCAGCTCACTGCAACCTCTGCCTCCTGGGTTTAAGCAATTCTCCTGCTCCAGCCTCCCGAGAAGCTGGGATTACAGGCGCCTGCTATCAAGCCTGGCTAGTTTTTTTTTGTTTGTTTGTTTGTTTGTTTGTTTGTTTGTTTTTTTTTTTTTTTAAGACGGAGTCTCGCTCTGCCGCCTGGGCTGGAGTGCAGTGGCGAATCCGGCTCACTGCAACTCCGCCTCCCGGGTTCACGCCATTCTCCTGCCTCAGCCTCCCGAGTAGTGGACTACAGGCCGCCCCTCGCCGGCTAGTTTTTTTTTTTGTAGAGACGGGTTTCACCTGTTAGCCAGGATGGTCTCGATCTCTGACCTGTATCCGCCGTCTCGGCCTCCAAAGTGCGGTTACCACCGCGCCCGGCCTAGTTTTTTTTGTATTTTTAGTAGAGTTGGGGTTTCGCCATGTTGGCCAGGCTGGTCTCAAACTTCTAACCTCAGGCGATCCGCCTGTCTTGGGCTTCCAAAGTGCTGGGATTTCAGGTGTGAGCCACAGCGACCGGCCATGCCTGGCTAACTTTTTTTATTTTTATTTTTTGTGGAGATGAGGTCTTACTGTATTTCCCAGGCTGGTCTCAAACTGCTGAACTCAGGTGATTTGCCTTGAGTTCAGGAGTTTGAGCCTTGAGCGTTTGTATCTTAGCGACTGGTGCTCCTCCAACCTCCCCAGGGCCCTGAGGATTTGGAGCTTCAGGGAGAAGGAAGAGAATTCCCAGCCCCTCCTTAGCCAGTCCCATCCTCCTCCAGGAGCCTTCCCTGCTTGTTCTGGCCCTGGAAGGTCTGCTGGCTACAATCTGTCTCCACTGCTTCCCCATCATTGTGCTAAGCTGTGATGCCCATAATAATAAACCAGGCTTCCTGGGATTCATGCGTTTTTGAGTCTCATTCCACGTGGACTCTGGGCTTGTTTTGGAGAGTGAGGTATTAGAAAGCATGATGGGAGCAGAGGTTTAATGAGCTCTTGCACATTGGGGCTTGTCCTGTCATGCTGTGAGGAAGACCAAGTCAGCCACGTGGAGAAGCCAAGCAAAGGAGCCTGGAAGCGGGGCGGCAGCCCATGCTGGCGGCAGCCGAGCTCCCACTGGCAACCAGCACCGACTGTAGCCGTGTGGGTGAAGCCACTTGGACATTTCACTCCAGTTGGACCTCCAGATACCTACAGCTGTAGAGTGAGCCCAGCGGACACCACATGAAGCAAAAGACTCATCCAGGGGGTGCGGTGGCTCACACCTGTAATCCCAGGACTTTGGGAGGCCGAGGCGGGCGGATCTCGAGGTCTGGAGTTCAAGACCAGCCTGACCGACATGGTGAAACCCGTCTCTACTAAAAATACAAAAATTAGCCGGGCTTGGTGGCGCATGCCTGTAATCTCAGTTACTCAGGAGGCTGAGGCAAGAGAATCGCTTGAACCCGGGAGGTGGAAGTTGCAGTGAGCTGAAATCACGCCACTACACTCCAGCCTGGGCAAGAGTGAGGAAAAAAAAAAAAAAAAAAAGAGCCATCCAGTCAATCCAGAGAACCGTGAACAATACTACATCATTGCTGTTTAAAGCCACCCTGGCAGGGTTGTTTGTTACACAGCAGAAGAGAACTGATACACTGTGGAGATCTCCTTGTCTCTCAGGGGTCACTGGCATCACCTGCAGCCCCTCCATCCTCCACCTTCCCCCTTCCTGTCCATCACTTTTGAAAGGTGGGCGGCTTACCCAATCACTGCCCTCCTGGGGCCAGGAAGCCCCTTCCAGTCCAGCCCTCTGCTCCTTTCACACTGGGCATTGAGGAAAGCATCTCCTTGCAGGGCCTCCGCACCCCTCTAGGCCCTCAGCTCCCTGCTGGACATACAGACATACGGTTGCCGAGTGAGGGGTGGCTCCTGGGAATCCTGATGCCGCCACCTAGACAGCACTGGACCCTCAGTGGGCTCTGCGGACCGTGTCCTGGGGGTTCCTGGGTGGGGACAGCTGACGGGCCGAGGGGGTGGCGCAGCAGGGATGGGAGCTGCAATGGAAGGCTAGGCTGAGTCCCTCCCCACACTGCCCGCACGCTCTCGCCTGCAGCCAGCTCCTCAGCGGCTCTGGCCTCAGCGTCTGCACCTGTGAAGTGGGCCTGGAGTATGCGGAAGTCCCAGCCGGGGAGACCCACAGGAGCCTGAGGCTGGGGAAGGCAAGGGAAGTGGCAGTTGGGACGCGCGAGCAGGCCGGGCTGGGTGGACGGCCACCAGGTGGAGGGTACAGGAGCGCGAGGGTCCGCTCTCCGAGGGAGATGGGGCTCGGACCGGGGAACACTGTCACCCGCAGGCCGCGGGCCGCGGACAGGCAGAGGCAGAGCCTGGGACCTCGAGGGCGTCTCCCGACTGGGCGGGGGGCGGCGCTCGTCCCCGCTGGCGGCGCCGGGAAGCGGAGGCGCGCACAGCCCTCTCCCTGCGGCCAGCGCGGTCCGCGGACTCCGGCTGGGGGAGGGTAACCCGGAAGGGGCCCGCCGGACCACCTGCCCCGCCCGCCCCGCAGGGACCTCCGATCGGTCCAGCCGGGGGCAGGCGCCGTGGCCGCGGCGCGGATGGAGGGACTGTGGCCATTTCACGCTAGGGAAGGTGGAGACCCTGGTGGGCAGGGGCCCGCCGAGGCCGCGGGGCGAGGGGAGAGCGGGGTGGGCACTCAGCCCTCGAACCCCACCACCGGGGACAGGGCGCTCGGACGTCCCGGCCCCCGCAGCCTGGGGCGCCCGGGTCGGGGGTCCCTTGCTGGGCTCCGGCGGAGGCGGCGGGTCGCAGTGACGTCCGCGGCCGCCAGGGGGCGGTGTCGGGCCGCGCTGGGCGCTGGGGTTGCGCTCTGGGCTGCCGCCCGCCTTCCCCTGCGCGGATGGGGATACTGAGGCTCGGACCCCGCCGGCACGGGCCAGGGCCTCGCCTCTCCCCGAGGGCGGTCGGCAGGGTCAGACCAGGGGACACCCCCGCCCCTACAAAATCTCTGCAAAATCTGCCTTGGGGCAGATCAGCGGCGCTCCGCCCCCCACCCATGTCCCGGCCCTGCTGCGGGGCTCGGTCTCCCGACCCCTTCCTCGCCTCGGGCCCAGAAAGTGATCGTGCGGACGCAAGGACCCGGCGGGGCGGGGCGTGTGGGAAGAGGGCGCGCCCGCGCACGGGCCGCTGACACCCTTGGGACTGCCCTGCACTGTGTGACCTGGGCTGGGCCAGGCCCTCCAGTCTCAGTTCCCCCTTCTGACTCACTTCTCTGCAAGCTGCAGCTACTGATCTAGCACAGTCCCGAAGGTGGTCCTGGAAAATAAGATGGGGGCGCAGACGAAGGGGGGCTGCAGTGACCCGGCCCCTGCGGTCCTGCGGGGGGCGTCGTCTGGAGGAGGCGCTGCGAGGAGGCGCCCCCAGCTCCGTAAACGTGCGGCTCGCTCATCCCCAGTGCGAACCCGTGGAACGCTTCCCAGCCCGAGGGGCAGGACGCACTCGAGACCACTCGGCCGAATCCAGCGCGAGGTTGCGAGGAGGGGCGGAGAAGGGCGGGTGCGTTGGATCCTCCCAGCCCGTCCTGCTCCCTGGCGTCCTACTTCCCGCCAGGGCTGGCCACACCAGGACAAGCCGGGAGCTGGGCTGAGCCGAGCCACCACTGGTCTCTCACACCCCCCAGTGTCCAGAGAGCCCTAGGCAGGGAACTTGGTGCAGCCCGGGATGAAACACGGCTTCCTGCCCCCAGCCCTGCGCCAGTCGCTGAGCATCAGGAGGGCCGCGCTAGCCGCATCCCCAGCACGCCCTGGCCCCACCCGCTGCCTGCTTAATTCTTCCTCTATGTAGTCATCTGCATTTATGGGCACCCACAGGACTACCCGCCCAGCAGACATAGGCAGGCCCCACCCTGTGGGCGGGCAAAGGGGAACCCTCCACCTGGCCGGTGCCAGTAGCAGGGCCCAGAGAGCCCGCGGGAGCTCCTTTAGCCAGGTGACAGCTGAAATGAGGCCACACAGACTCCTGGGAGAGACGCATCCAGGCAGAGGGAACAGAAGGGCCAAGGGCCCTGAGGCTTGAACACAGTTTCCTGGTGGCACAGGAAGGGGTTCGGCCTAGACGGAGAGGAGTTTTGTTTTGTTTTGGTTGTTTTTTTTGGGGATGTTGTCTTGCTCTGTTGCCCAGAGCAATGGAGTGCGATGGTGCATGTGGGGAAAAGAAAGAGATCAGCCTGTTACTGTGTCTATATAGAAAGAAGTAGACATAAGAGACTCCATTTTGTTCTGTATTTGAGATGCTGTTAATCTGTGACCCTACCCCCAACCTTGTCCTTGCAAGAGACATGTGGTAACTCAAGGTTTAATGGATTTTGGGCGTGCAGGGTGTGACTTTGTTCCTAGAAAAGCTAGGTATTGTCCAAGGTTTATCCCCATGTGATAGGATGAAACAATGTTGCTAAAAGGTTTATCTCAAGGCACAGGATTTTCCTTTAAACTTATTCATGTCACAGATCCTTGTTCTTATGTCTTACTGCTAATTTCCTCCCTAAAAATGATCCTATTGTCCTGCCACTCCCTTATCCTTAAGATGGTAAAGATAATTATCTATAAATACTAAGGGAACTCAGAGGCCGGTGCCGGCGTGGGTCCTCTGTAAGCTGAGCGCCGGTCCCCTGGGCCCCCGCTTTTCTTTCTCTATACTTTGTCTCTGTGTCTTATTTCTTTTCTCAAGTCTCTCGTTCCACCTAACGAGAAACACCCACAGGTGTGGAGGGGCAGGCCACCCCTTCATCTGGCGCCCAACGTGGGGCTTTTCTCTAAGGTGAAGGTACGCTGGAGCGTGGTCACTGAGGACAAGTCGACGAGAGACTCCCGAGTACGTCTACAGTCAGCCTTGCGGTAAGCTTGTGCGCTCGGAAGAACCTAGGGTAACAATGGGGCAAACTAAGAGTAAATATGCCTCTTATCGCAGCTTTATTAAAATTCTCTTAAAAAGAGGGGGAGTTAAAGTCTCTACCAAAAATCTAATTACGCTATTTCAAACGATAGAGCAGTTTTGTCCATGGTTTCCGGAACAGGGAACTTTAGATCTAAAAGATTGGGAAAAAATTGGCAAAGAATTAAAACAAGCAAGCAGGGAAGGTAAAATCATTCCGCTCACAGTATGGAATGATTGGGTCATTATTAAAGTAGCTTTAGAACCATTTCAAACAGAAGAAGATAGCGTTCCAATTTCTGATGTCCCTAAAAGCTGTGCAGTAGATTGTGAAAAAGAGGCAGGGATAGAATCCCAGAAAGGAAAAGAAAGTTCACACTGTGAATGTGTATCAGAGCCGGCTATGGCTCGGTCAACGCAAAATGTTGACAATAATCAATTACAGGAGGTAGTATATCCTGAAACGTTAAAATTAGAAGAAAAAAATCCAGAATTAGCAGAGCCATCAGAGTCTAAACCACGATGGCCAACTGCTCTTCCAGCAGCTCAAATGCCTGTAACTTTACAACCTCAAATGCAGGTTAAACAAGTACAAACTCCAAAAGAAGATCAAATAGAAAAAGATAGAGTTTCTGTCATGGCAATGCCATTCCAAATGCAGTGTCCACAATATCAGCCGGTAGAAGATAAGACCCAGCCGCCAGTAGCCTATCAATACTGGCCGCCAGCTGAACTACAGTATCAGCAGCCCCCAGAAAATCCGTGTGGACAGCCAGGAACATTTCCAGCGCCACAGAGCAGGGTGCCATATCCTCAACCGCCCACCATGAGACTTAATCCTACAGCACTGCCTAGTACACAGGGTAGTGCGTTACATAAAATTATTGATGAGGCAAGAAAACATGGAGATATTGAGGCGTGGCAATTCCCAGTAATATTAGAAGCAAGACCACCTGGAGAAGGGGCCCAAGAGGGAGAGCTTCCCGTAGCTGAAGCCAGATATAAGTCTTTTTCTATAAAAATGCTAAAAGAAATGAAAGAGGGAGTAAAACAGTATGGACCCAACTCTCCTTACATGAGAACATTATTAGATTCCATTGCTCATGGACATAGACTCATTCCTTATGATTGGGAGATTCTGGCAAAATCCTCACTCTCACCCTCTCAATTTTTACAATTTAAGACTTGGTGGATGATGGGCACAAGTACAGGTCCGAAAAATAGGACTGCCAATCCTCCAATTGACATAGATGCAGATCAACTATTAGGAATAGGTCAAAATTGGAGCACTGTTGACCAACAAGTAATAATGCCAAATGAGGCCATTGAGCAAATCAGGGCTATCTGCCTTAGGGCCTGGGAGAAAATCCAAGACCCAGGAACCGCCTGCCCCTCCTTTAATACAATAAGACAAGGCTCTAAAGAGCCCTACCCTGATTTTGTAGCAAGACTTCAAGATGCTGCTCAAAAGTCAATTACCGGATGAGAATGCCCGTAAGGTCATAGTGGAATTGATGGCATATGAAAACGCCAATCCTAAATGTCAATCAGCCATTAAGCCATTAAAAGGAAGGGTTCCCGCAGGATCAGATGTATCTCAGAGTACGTTAAGGCCTGCGATAGAATTGGAGGAGCTATGCATAAAGCTATGCTTATGGCTCAAGCAATCACAGGAGTTGCTTTAGGAGGACAGGTTAGAACATTTGGGGGAAGATGTTATAATTGTGGTCAAATTGGTCATCTAAAAAAGAATTGCCTAGTCTCAAATAAACAAAATGCAACTACTCAAACTACTACAAGAACAGATAAAGAGCCACCTGGCCTATGTCCAAGATGTAAAAAGGGAAAACATTGGGGTAATCAATGTCGTTCTAAATTTGATAAAAATGGGCAACCACTGTCGGGAAACGAGAGGAGGGGCCAGCCTCAGGCCCCGCAACAAACTGGGGCATTCCAAATTCAGCCCTTTGTTCCTCAGGGTTTTCAGGAACAACAACCCCACTGTCACAAGTGTCTCAGGGAATAAGCCAGTTATCACAATACAGCAATTATCCCCCGCCACAAGCGGCAGTGCAGCAGTAGATTTATGCACCATACAAGCAGTCTCTCTGCTTCCAGGGGAGCCTCCACAAAAAATCCCCACAGGGGTATATGGCCCATTGCCTGAGGGGACTGTAGGACTAATCTTAGGAAGATCAAGTTTAAATCTAAAAGGAGTTCAAATTCATACTGGTGTGGTTGATTCAGACTTTAAAGGCGAAATTCAATTGGTTATTAGTTCCTCAATTCCTTGGAGTGCCAGTCCAGGAGACAGGATTGCTCAATTATTACTCCTACCTTATATTAAAGTTGGAAACAGTGAGATAAAAAGAACAGGAGG